CTTGAATGAGGTGAAGTGCTCTGGGTGTCTTTAGTGTCCCTTAAATTATATTTTATTCACAATGTATCAACTGCTAGATATTTTAATATCATATAAACGTTGAGGAATATGTTGGCACTATATAAGTGCCCAAATTAATAAATAAATATAAGTAGGACATGTTGCTGGATCGATCTGCAAATGTTTGTGGGGATCTATTTATATTTATATGGTTAGTGTTTTAGAACAGGGGCCTAATCCATATAAAAACAGATGAGTAAGCGCTAAATAACACAAGTGGGCAGCAACCCTAAAAAGGGAATCCCTCAAAAACCCTTTAGGATAAGACACAAAAAATACAAAAAAAGGGCTGCGCTTAAGTAATAAATGAATAAAAGTCCAGATAAAATAAATAGATAAATGAATAAATAAATAAATAAAACAGAAGAGATCTTATCTTGCAATGTCCGTAGTACTTAGTCAGAGGTAATAATCTTGCTTTCTTGCTTTCTGTCTTGCTTTCTGTCTTTCTTGTGGATAGTCTCTTGTGTGAGATATAAAAACAAATATAAAACCACAATGGTGCAGTATATCTATATGTGTAAGGAATAAAATATAAAGGCTTGATTGCGAACTCACATATCCAAGAGCTAGGACCTGCTCTGGTATAGAAGGCGTACAGCGGTTTAAATCCCCGCTTATGGGATATAGGATGGTTATCCTCCACGTGTTTCCTCCTTCCGTGGTGAAAAAGATGCTCAAAAAAAAGAGGAGACAGCCAATAGTGTTCTCTGCGTAAAATTAAAATCCAATATAAAACAAAATAAAAAATGGATACTCACAAGACAGGAGCAGGTCAACTGCTCCTGGTATTTCGCACTGGTGGAATAATCCCCACCTAGGATTGCTTGGAGTCCAGCGAATGATGCCAGGTAACAATAATAATTATATGTGTGTTAAAAGATAAGTAGTACAATAAAAGATTATAAAATATACTTTAATTGTAACATTACACACTATAAAAAAACATAAACGCGTTTCGCCAATCGGCGTTATCAATATGGGTAAAGGACCTGATACCTGGCAAAAGATCATTTAAATAGCATACTCAATTAACTCAAAAATTGGCGCCAAAATTTGGACAGCCAATCAGATAGCAATAAAAGATTACATACAATATAGCAGTAATAAAACATAAAAAATAATATACATAAGGATAAAGCTAGAACAGACATTATAAATTATGTAATTTAACTTTGAAAACGATCAGTGATTGTTGAGAAAAAACTCTGAGATGCACGGTCACATGACCGGCATCGCAACCGCAAGGGGTTATGGGGTGTGTAGTTTGACGCCGGCCGGCACTGCGCAGCCGCCGGCGTCATGAGGGGGAATTGGTAGCTGGCGTCTGTTCGCATAACGGATGCGTCCAGACGCCAGTAGGCGGAATGAGGGGCGGGCTGATGACGGCGGCACGCACAAGACAGTGGCCGCCGTCATCAGGAAGAAGATAGACGACGGCTCACACAACGCTGTGGCCGTCGTCATCGAGATGATACATAACAATATCGGCAAGCTATGGCCGAATAGAGGAGGGGGGAGAGGGAACAAATAGTCATTTAAAAAGCAATGTAAATGGAATGAAATAAAATAAGATGAATGAAACTAATTGTTAAAAGAAAAATGGAATAAAAACATGATTATGTGAGAGACAGGCAGGTAAAAAACAACATCATACCTGCTCTGCTGGATAGTAAGAGAGGCATGGTGAGAGAACAAAAACAATAATAGATAATATAAAAACATATACTTATAAAAAATATGATTATAGGAATTTGGATTATAAAAAATTAAATAAGTCAAAATCAACATTCAGACCATAAGGTGCAAGAGTTTGGAGTGTATAAACCCACTCCATCTCTTTTTTACCTAGAATATTTTTAATATTTCCACCCCTCCATGGAACCATACATATACCTGTTTTAGTTAACTCTTTAAGGATGAAGACATTTGTCCAACATCTGAACCAAAACTAAATCTATAATATGTGTTTGTTCCACCGTAATTTAATGGCTTCTCTTTAAGGGGCCACACGCATATTATTATACACTGCTCAAAAAAATAAAGGGAACACTTAAACAACACAATGTACCTCCAAGTTAATCACACTTCTGTGAAATCAAACTGTCCACTTAGGAAGCAACACTGAATGACAATCAATTTCACATTCTGTTGTGCAAATTGGATAGACAACAGGTGGAAATTATAGGCAATTCGCAAGACAGCCCCAATAAAGGAGTGGTTCTGCAGGTAGTGACCACAGACCACTTCTCAGTTCCTATGCTTCCTGGCTGATGTTTTGGTCACTTTTGAATGCTGGCGGTGCTTTCACTCTCGTGGTACCCACTCTACAACCCACACAAGTGGCTCAGGTAGTGCAGCTCATCCAGGATGGCACATCCACAGGTGGGGGTTGTGCTTACAGCCCAACACCGTGCAGAACGTTTGGCTTTTGTCACAGAACACCAAGATTGCCAAATTCGCCACTGTGCCTTCACACTGAGCACATGTGTCAGACGTGACAGAGTCTGGAGACGCCGTGGAAAACGTTCTGCTGCCTGCAACATCCTCCAGCATGACCGGTTTGGCAGTGGGTCAGTAATGGTGTGGGGTTGCATTTCTTTGGGGGGCCGCACAGCCCTCCATGTGCTCGCCACAGGTAGCCTGACTGCCATTAGGTACCGAGATGAGATCCTCAGACCCCTTGTGAGACCATATGCTGGTGCGGTTGGCCCTGGGTTCCTCCTATTGCGAGACAATGCTAGACCTCATGTGGCTGGCCTGCCCATTCCCCAGACCTGAATCCAATTGAGCACATCTGGGACATAATGTTGTCAGAATATTTATATCAACAGACATTTTGTGCTAAAAAGAAATTAAAAGTGTATATTGCCAAAGTCACTCAGAACAAAGAGGACTCCATTTTGCTATCTTCAGGATAACCGAGACATAGTTTCTTCTTACTTTCACTAACCACTAAGGAATGTATTACATAAACACAGACACTAGTGACAGAGAAGACTAAGTAATTAATTTTACTTTCTAAATTTTACAAGGTTCCATTGTAAGTAAGGGGTGAAATTGAGTTTAGAACTGTCAATTTTACAAGTTACGATCAAAGTAGTTGCCACAAAGACTGAGACAAACGCTTTGAATTGACAGCAAATCTAAGTTATGGTAGTCATTTTAGATAAGCCAAATGACGTCAAAATCATCATCAGGAAAAGTTAACTCTTTCCTGGATAGGAAGGTTTCGTTAGACGAGACTGCCCTCTATGGATCAAATACCTAAATTGCGATCCATCGATTGAATCCACCTACAGCTTCCTATTGGCTTATCAACTAATGACATACAAAGAGTCTGGCCCTTTAAAAGTAAGGACAAAGGGAAAAGTTGAACATGCAGAGAGACGAGTTGAAAGTTTGGGGATTCCGATTCGAACATGTAGAGAGGGACACTCAACTCACAAACTCTTTGACACTTTCTAACCAACACCACTTTTCACTATCACTCACGCACCTCCATACGACCAATCAAGTTCCTGGGACTACCTACTCATCTGATGAGAATATCTACATAACTGGTAATTATGCTGGTTTTATTTAATTAATTTAAATTAATTAAAATTTACTAATAGCATGATATATGACTGGATAAATCACGGTCAGATTTCATATTTAGAAATCTTAGTTAACTAAAGAATATATATTTATAAACATTTCATTCTGCAGGTGGAATTAAGAATAATTATATATTAATGTGATATTATCACGTGTTAGCATACCGCTGTTTTTATCCAGGTGTATTGATTTGCTCTAATATAAGATAAGATATCTTTTTAGGCAAATTAAAAATTTGGCTTTTGTAAAAATCTGGTAGATTATTCTTATTGGATGGTTCCAGGAAATGACTAATGAGTTGGTTCAAATGTTATTTTAATTGAAAATCACGTAAGAATAGGATATTATATGCCTAGGAGGATCTAGCCAGCGTTGAAAGGGTTACTCAGCTGATTTAACTGTTAGCCAAGGTTTTATGGCTCTTCGCTGTGAAAAGCTTCACTTTTTGTCTTTAAGGATACCCTCATAAATCTTAAGTGACAGATGGTGCTGTTAGCCCTTGAAACGTGTATAGCCATTCCATTGTATTGCATATTTATGTTATACTAAATATTCACTGATTATTATCATGTATGCTGCCTAATATTATTTGTTATGTTATTTGTTACAATAAAAATAAATCTATTTTTATAACAGATTGTGATTTATTTATGGAATACTTTTCACTTATTTGATAAACGATCTCTAAGATCTAAGAGAATTGAAATAGTGGGCAATTCTCGACTGCTTAATATTATCATCCCATAAATATCCCCACAATGTCTCGCTCCATCCACCAATGTCACGTTGCACCACAGACTGTCCAGGAGTTGGCAGATGCTTTAGTCCAGGTTTGGGAGGAGATCCATCAGGAGACCATTCGCAACCTCATTAGCAGGGCTCGAGTCCTGCAGGAACGCATGGGAACGGCGTTCCTGCACTTTTTCCACAGCAGGAACGCCGTTCCCGTTACCTGTCCTGCAGGACCGGCCCTGCTACCTGCACACAGGGGCCGTCACACGCTGTGTTCCTTCTCCAGCTTTAACTCTCGTGAGACCCGCGGCTGTTACCATGGCAACGCTCCGCACAGGCGAGTCTCGCGAGAGTTAGAGCTGGAGAAGGAACACAGAGTGTGATGGCCCCTCTGTGCAGCGGCTGGCTCCCTCCAGCATACCACCGGACCACCAGGCGATCTCCCTCCTCCCTGTCAAGGTAAGAAGCAGGGAGGGGGGAATAAAAAAAAAAATATACATAAAGTAAAATAAAAATGTCCCCCCCATCATCCAGCACTCACACACCCATCATCCAGCACTCACTCACACACCCATCATCCAGCACTCACACACACACACATCATCTAGCACACACATCATCCAGCACTCACACACCCATCATCCAGCACTCACACACACCCATCATCCAGCACACACACACATCATCCAGCACACACACACACACATCATCCAGCACACACACACACATCATCCAGCACTCACACACCCATCATCCAGCACACACACACACCTCATCCAGCACACACACACACATCATCCAGCACACACACACATCATCCAGCACTCACACACACATCATCCCAGCACACACACACACACACACATCATCCAGCACACACACATCATCCAGCACTCACACACCCATCATCCAGCACACACACCCATCATCCAGCACTCACACAAACACCCATCATCCAGCACACACACACATCATCCAGCACTCACACACATATCATCCAGCACACACACACATCATCCAGCACTCACACACACATAATCCAGCACACACACACACATCATCCAGCACATGCACGCACACATCATCCAGCACACACACACACACACATCATCCAGCACTCACACACACATCATCCAGCACACACACATCATCCAGCACACACATATCATCCAGCACTCACACACACATCATCCAGCACACACTCACACATCATCCAGCACACACACACACATCATCCAGCACTTACACACACACACACATCATCCAGCACACACACACACACATCATCCAGACTCACACACATCATCCAGCACTCACACACACATCATCCAGCACTCCACACACTACACATCATCTAGCACACACCACATCATCAGCACTCCACACCCATCATCCAACACTCCACACACACACCCATCCATCAACTTCTAAACACACATCATCCAGCACACACACCACACACATCATCCAGCACTCTCACACACACATCATCCAGCACTCACACACACATCATCCAGCACTCACACACACATCATCCAGCACAAACACACATCAGCCAGCACTCACACACACATCATCCAGCACTCACACACACGTCATCCAGCACTCACACACACGTCATCCAGCGCGCACACACACATCATCCAGCACACGCACACACTGCATTCATTATACACACTCTTCACTCACTACAAACACACTACATTCACAATACACCCTGTGCATTCACTATACACACTCTGCATTCATTATAAACATTCTGCACGCACTACACACTACATTCACTATACACACTCTGCATTCACTACAAACACACTACATACACTGCATTCATTGTACACACTGCACTCACTACAAACACACTAAATTCATTATACACAATTTGCACTTACTACAAACACACTACATTCATTATACACACTCTGCACTCACTACAAACACACTACATTCACTATACACACTCTGCATTCATTATACACACTCTGCACTCACTACAAAAACACTACATTCACCATACACACTGCATTCACTATACACACTGCACTCACTACAAACACACTACATTTATTATACACACTGCACTCACTACAAATACACTACATTTATTATACACACTGCATTCACTACAAACACACTACATTCATTATACACTGCTGCACTATATGCATAGGAGGGTGTAATTTTTTTAAGGCGGGAATCTTGGAGTGAGTTCCCACCTTTTCCCCAGGACTTGACCCCTGCTCATTAGGGTATGCACAGGCATTGTTGTAGGGAGGTCATACAGGCGTAATGGGCCGCACACTGCGGCCTCATTTTGACTTGTTTTAAGGACGGTGATACAGCGAAAGTTAGGATCAGCTGCTTAGTGTATTTTCCACTTTATTTTTAGTGTGATCAAAAATCAGACCTCAAGTAGGGGTTGAAAAATTTGATTTCCATTTTTTAATTTTTGTGTGATTTTGTTGTCAGCACATTCATGTAAAGAACAAAGTATTTCAGAAGAATATTTTATTCATTCAGATCTAGGATGTGTTATTTTTGTGTTCCCTTTATTTTTGTGAGCAGTGTATATATATATATATATATATATATATATATATATATATATATATATATATATACAATGAACAAAATTATAAATGCAACACTTTTGCATGTTTTACAAAGAGTATATGTTTTAATAATTCTCAATAAAGAATTGAACTTTTACCTTTGAAAGACTGTGCGTGCAAGCAAATTCTATTATGAATAACATATATACATATATCTATATATATATATGTATATATATATATATATATATATATATTTATATATATATATATATATATATATATATATATATATATATGAAACAAGGGGGGGTTGACTGCACTCACCTGAACATGCATAAATGGGGGTGCTATATATATTTATTTATACACTGAACAAAATTATAAACGCAACACTTTTGTTTTTGCCCCCATTTTTCATGAGCTGAACTCAAAGATCTAAGACTTTTTCTATGTACACAAAAGGCCTATTTCTTTCAAATATTGTTGAAAAATCTGTCTAAATCTGTGTTAGTGAGCACTTCTCCTTTGCCGAGATAATCCATCCACCTCACAGGTGTGGCATAATAAGATGCTGATTAGACAGCATGATTATCACACAGGTGGCCACAATAAAAGGCCACTCTAAAATGTGCAGTGTTACTGCATTGGAGGATACTGGGGAGGGGCAGGGGGGCGAAAATCTGTCAGTATCTGGTGTGACCACCATTTGCCTCACACAGTGCAACACATCACCTTCGCATAGAGTTGATCAGGTTGTTGATTGTGGCCTGTGGAATGTTGGTCCACTCCTCTTCAATGGTCCAGGTCCTGCCAATATCCAGTGAGAAGTTTCTGGATATTGTCAGGACCTGGAGCACGCTGTGGTATATGCCGATCCAGAGCATCCCAAACATGCTCAATGGGTGACATGTCCGGTGAGTATGCTGGCCATGCAAGAACTGGGATGTTTTCAACTTCCAGGAATTGTGTACAGATCCTTGCAACGTGGGGCTCATGAAAAATGGGGGCAAAAACAAAAGTGTTGCATTTTTAAATTGTGTTCAGTGTATGTATTTTTTGGGGGGGAAGTTTGTTTTTTTAAAGGACAGAAAGAGCTGTCTTTTAATATTCTATATGTATACCTAACAACATTAAATATTAATAAAATCTTTCAAAAATGATAAAAATGGACAAAACACATTTTTGTTTATAATAATTTTACAGTGTAAAGAAAAAGATCTCAAAACATATTCACGTATCAGTCCTGATTATTAAATGACACATATACCTAAGTAAGTATAATACATTTTATTGACCCTCTATCAACCGCCCTAACTCTATACTAACCCTACCTCATATAATATGCTTTCACTAACTCTAACTGTGAGCATTGCATAAAGCTCATCTGTCACTCCGGGACCCATCTGATAGAGGGGAGCCCAGGTATCTATTGATAGCTGGATTTTCATGATGTGAGCAGGGATTTATTCCTGCACACACCAAAACATTAGGACATTCCGTGCCATCCTAAGCACACTCTTTGGAGGACAGCATGGAATGTCCTAACATTGTTAATTGGTAATGTAACATCTCTATACTACACTATGAACTGCAAAATATACATATTATATATTACTTTCATCAGGAGTTTGGGTGACAAACTGAAACACTGATCTTTTAAATTTGGAAAGTAAAAGTTAAATTTTATTTTTACACCTTTGGAGTCCTGGGAGTGCTATCTCAATGCAATTTGTTACACTATGCCGATAAGCACCGGGCAGAGACACCAGTAAGTCGAGTGCAAAACTATTTTTTTTTGTTTTATATATATATAATATGTTTCAAAAATAATTGGTGGCCCTTCCCCTTTTACATATTTACATCATTGATAAAGCACTCCCGTTGTTGACACTTATTTCAACAGTGTGTTATTCTATGATTCACAGATAATCATGTACAATTAAAATTTTCTGTGATTCTAATATGCTGTGCATTTACATTCCACAGTTGCCCTTTATATAAGAATAACCATATAAATGAAATCATACGAATCAGTTTTTATCCACGTCGCATTTATAGTAGTGCTTCAAACTGCACTGAATATTATCCCAGTCATAGTAAGCAGTAAAGACCACCCATTGGAAAGGCTGCATCCCTTATGATCAGATGTGTAAGGTGACAGTGGATTGCCATGAAATGAGTGAAATTAAGGCTTTGAAGTGACATGAAAGTCGAGAAAGCTGTTATCTTCCATAACATCAGACAGCCTGGATTTTGGGCAATCGCTTTAATAAATTAACCAATACGGTGCACAGTTCTGAAAGAAGAAAATTACCAGGTCCCCGTCCTTATTTAATTACATCAATATAATAGTAAGCACTCTCATTAAGCCATGGGCCTTAGAATTTGTAATGAATGACATTTCTGTCTCTAAAAGTTACATTATGCTGTCATTTGGCTTTGCTGCAGTGTGTTAGCAATTATATATATATAGTGTAGATTGGATTAGCCATATTAGTCCAGTAGAAAAGATGCCAAAATACCAGAGTATTGCAGTATTGCAATGATACCTTTTTTTATTGGACTAACTCTAGCTTTACCTTTATTGGATCAATTTATACATACATCTATGCAGCTATTTACTTGCATGCCCTGCTCTGCTGTTTTCTTTTTCTTTTTTTTGTGTTTTTTTTTTTTTCTTATCAGCTAGCTTATTGACTCTCCTCTGTTTAATTAATTTTTCTGGCTATTCTCAGCCAACCTGCACCTTTCAGGCAAATCATACAGAATATTCAAAATATAATAAGAAGTGGAGCGATATCAAGCAACAATGAGCCCCTCTCCCACATGCAACAAAACTTTCAAAAGGGAAAAAAATACTTA